ACAAAAGTGCTAAAAAAGTGCACAGTCATTTCTTTCAAGATGTTACTTGAAATGTTTCCCTTAATATATTCTTTTTTTTATATTCAATATATATATTATATATATTTTGTATTAAAGTTTTAAAAAAGTATGTTTATTGTGATTTCACCTCTTGGGTGTACCTGTTCACAGGAGATAAGATAAACGGTTCCTTACTTCCTCAAAGATGGCCTTCCTCTCTGATTCTCAGCACTGTGCAGCAAACCTTTATAAGATACAGTTCCTGGTGACTATACTTCCAACAATGTTGCATCAACATGTACACAAACGATCTACATGTAGCAAATAGAAATCTGGTCATTATTACAATATCATTTGAAGGCAGCTACACTTTGATAGCTGACCTCATTGTTTCTGTTCTGTCTGAGCATTGCCTCTTCAGATCTGCTCATATTTGCTGAGCTCAAGACAAAGAGCGTTCTTTCTTGTTAAGGAGAAGCCTCGGGCTGTTTAGCAGGCGTTGGAAATATTGTGTAGGACATACAAGTCGCTACATTTTCACCTCTGTTAATGGTGATCTTTGTGTTTCTCACCACATACCCTCCGTGTAGGGGTTCATCTCTCTGCAGGTGTATTACCTTGGGGTTGCATGAGGAGGAGTTTCCATAAGGTCTGATAAATCCTCCCTGCCTGGGGGAATGGTACATTTGAGGAAAGGAGTACAGAATGTTTTCATCTGTCATCTCCATTTCCCATTCAAACAGGAGGCGCAACTTCCAAAGTCATGGGACTCGCTTTCATCTGACCAAATAACCCAGTGAGAAATAATAATAAATGATGAGTTATAGTCTTGTCTTACCTCAAGATGTTTTCTACAAAGTGCCTGATTTCTGGAATGTGTTTTTGTTCTGCAGTGCCATGGTCTGTTCTTATCTTCCCGTTTCCTTTGGTTCGTTCCTGGGTCTCCGCCCTCCTCTCCTGTGGTTGATGGTATAACTAAGGCACTGACCCAAAGATGTGTACATTTAATACAAGGGCTCTAATTGTGAGGCTGTTATTTAAAATAAAATAATTAAAAAGCACACGTCAAACCAAGGACATGTCTATGCACTCTCTTTGCCTTTAACACAGGCATTAACAGCTATCACCACTGCTGCAAAGAGGGAAGATGCATAGTTCTCTCTCAGCTGCTTTTTTAACAGACCTCGGTCCTATCTCTCTGCCTAGTTGATCCACAGTGTGTGAATATGGTACACCTGACAAGCCCTACCCTGAACCGGCATTAGCTCATGTCAGACAACAATTTCTTACAGATAAACCAACAGCCCAAGAAAACTCAACAAGTCAGTGTGTTGTGATTTTTATCCAATGTCTCGTATTTTAAAAATCGTTTTTGTACATACTATCTTAATATGTAACATATTGTATTGTGTACATTTGGAATTGCTTTTTGAGTATACCTAATATGAAAATGACTGGACTTAAAAAGGTTGTCCGCCTGAAACCATTTCCCTCATGGCTGTGTGCTTTAAAGCAAGGTTATATGATGTAAATAAACAGAACTATGTTTAAAGAAAAATGTTCACATGTGTATTTGTTTTTAAGGATTTTGTAACACTAGCCCAGGGAGAGTGAGGCTCATGTTTAGCAGCAGCTTAATATAGCAGCTGAATGCCGCCCTCTGGAGGCTGCAGTTAGAAACGTCTCTCCAGGCCAAATGGCACAGATTCCCTCTGCACAAGAAAGAAACTTCATCCAAACTACTGGGGCTCTGCATTTTAACTTATTCATAGGTTCATATGTATACAATCTGTTCAAATTAGTGATACTAGGAATCTATTGACACTCGATAGTTAAATGTATATAAAGCTATAATAAACACAATTTCCATCATTAAGCTTTTATAGTTCTCTTGTGTTGCAGAAAACCCATTTCTGCATTTCATTTAGCAGAACATCCTTCCTCAGTGGATTAACCTTCATAAAGAGCATCTCCATCATATCCCATCCCCCCACCCCCTTCTGCTATGTCCGTGCATTATTCTCTTCAAGGCCCATATCTGCCTGGCACATTTCAGGATCCTTTAAGGAAAGCTTTATGATTATTGGTTTTGCTGACAAAGGCAAGTATCTTTGCACACTGCCGCTTTGAACCACTTCCTGTGTTTTAGAGCAGCCTTTACAACACAACAAAATACATTTCAAGGTTTTATTGAACTTATGTTAACACACAAATGTTAGAAATATTAACTCCGGAATTTATTTTTGCAAAAACATTATCGGCGAGCTGACCCAATAAGCTGTCATTTGGTATTCATGTTTTGGAGGAGAATGCAACAAAGGATGTGTTTTTGTTTACTTCAGAAACAGAACAGTTTATGTCAATGGACAGCTACAGAGTTGACCCAGGAAACAAACACACATATTCTCGTATTGTCAGATACATTCCCTTTATAAAAAGAAACTTATTTTTGAAATATTTACATTTATTCTTGGAAAACAAAATTTGAACAGGCCCAAACAGAAAATAAAGTATTTCATTACAATGCAAGGACACGTCTTCCAAATGACAAATTGATTACAGAAAACTGATGACAAATACAACACAAAAAAAATCAGCAGTCCCATATGTTACCTTTTTGAGGGGGGGGGGGGGGGTTCCCACTTCAATTGTGTCCATTACTTTGTAGCGACCCTGTCATTGCTGGGCTGGCTCTGAAGGAGCTCCATGTTTTGGGCCCTCAGTCTCTCCAGCTCCTTCTCCATGTCTCCCAGCCGGACCAGGGGGCTCTCCCCGGCCGGGCCCGCGGGCTCCACGGCGCGCCGCAGCCGGTTGTTTTCCTCCTCCAGCCGGGACATGCACTTCTCCAGCTCCAGGTACTCCTGCACCAGCTCCTGCTTGGTCATATTCTGCAGGCTCTCGACGTGGTACATCTCGTAGGTCTCAGAAAAGTCTCTCTGGAGAAACTCTCCACCTGCGTTTCCAGGTCTCCCGATACCGTCGCTGCCTCCCCCGCTGCCGTCATCTTCGTCCTCCTCCTCGTTATCAAATAAGTCCTCCTCGCTGCCCGTGTCCTCCATGCGGGTCCCGACCCCTGAGGTCCGTCTGACCCCGGTCTCGGTGTTGAGGTCGGGCTCCTCTCGGTCATGCTCGTCCATCAGGAACTGGGTGGTGTTATAAGGGGCCACTGGGAGCCCTTTGGCGAACATCTCCTCTCTCAACCGAGAAGCTCTGGCCGTCTCTTTCTCCTCCAGGGCTTTCCTTTCGTCCCAGTTAAGTTTGTAATAAGGCTTCCAGTTGCGCTTCTTCCTGGAGGTCCTGCGCCTGTGCCTCTTCTTGCCCAGACGCGCATCCAAACCAGTGTCAGAGTCGATATGACTATCATCTTGCACCTGGTTTAAAGTCTCTCCCAGTGGGCTATCTTCGCCGTTTTTCCCCTGCGCGATGTGATTACCGTCACCCGCTGCATGGACATCGGGTTTCTGATGAGACTGGGCAGCAATCGGGCACTTTGAGAGCTCGTTTCCGGCAGCTGAGGCAGGGCACACCTCCCTCGGCCCGCCTTTCATTTGCCACAACTTGTCTGTGTTGATATCCCCACACTTCTCCGCCCGCTGCTGCTGCTGCTTTTGGTTTCTCTGTCGCCCCCTGTTGCCGTTCTCTGGTCCACCACGGCTTCTGGCTGGGAGATGCTTCAACGCGTCTCCGCTGCTCCCACCTGATGGGCTGCCGAAAGTTTTCAGGTGATGGGTCTGCTCCGCTGGATCTGTCATCCTGATGTTCCGCTACGATGGTCTCTAGCACATTTTAGATCATGTCCTCTCCCTCAAAAATGATCTTCAAAGTTCGTTAAAAGACGTTAAACTAAATTTTAACAAAAATGTATGTATTCCAGAATCACCCAAAAATCATTAATAAAGGAAGTTTACGTTTTGACGTTTCAAAACAAACTCTCGCAAAAATTAAAGGAAACTTCTCTACAGTAAACACTTGTTACTTCTCCGAGGGTTTGTCAGAGCAACTGTCGCTAACTACCATTAACTGTTTCGATGCTGTCAGGGCTATCTTTCAGCGGGAGACGACGTTTCACCGTCACAACAGTGTCCAGTGTGCTGCTCAAGAAGAGGGAGCTCGTGTTTTTATAGCAGCTCCGCCTCTTACCGTGCGCATGCAGCTGTTTGTAACGCGCGTTGGATTGTGGGATATGTTGTTTTGAATTCAATGTAGCACTGTCGGAGCCCTACAAACCAAACTACATATTCCACAAGTCTACGATAACTGACGAGGATTTTAACCAATCTATTGAGCACGATAAAGCCCACCCTTCTCTTTGTTGATTGGACAAGAGGGTAACTTTGCTGTTGCTAAGCTTTAAGTATTTTTTGATTCGACAATCCATGGGTCAATCATAAGTACGTAATCCACACCAAGAAAGCAGTCCGGTATATTTTAAGGACGGTACCATCTACACAATAAAGGGGTAAAAATACTTAGTAATGAAATATAAGTTAATTTAAATAAGTTTAAATTACATTTTAGTCGCTTGGTCTAATTAGAATACGTTAAATGTAACTACATATGTATTATATGTCCTTACTGCCCACACAGTATAAAGCCGAATTAGAAATGAAATAAAAACCCTCCTGCATTTAAAGCAAAATAAAGAACCCCGCTTAGGGAAACTAGTCCGTGTTAAATGTTCACACAAGGAAATAAGTAAAAAACAACTTGTGTTGAAAATGCAAGTATTTTTCATGTTTAAATGTATCGAAACGCGTCGTTTTGATGACATTGCAGCATTAAATGATTCATTATGACAATTATGTGTGTTGTGCGGAGTGATACGTTGTGTGGCACAGTCTCGGCGAACTCGGGAATCAGCGTAAACAAACGACATTTATTGTCAAGCTTCCGCTCCGAGTACATCTCCGAGCCCCTCGTTGTTAAAGGGTGGGTCAGGCGATCTAACTCTTGCTCAATAATCCTGTTACCAGTGGACGGAGTTGTGTAGATCAGTTTTGAGTTTTCCTGCGCAACCCACCCATGTTTCTGATATGCAGTGTTAGTTTTACAATGGTGTGTCGTGTTAAAAGCTAAGGATAAGCTAGCTAGCTAACGTTAGCCGAATGTTAACGTTAGTTAGCAAATGATAGCTGCGTTGTTTCGTTCCCAAACTAAACACTGACATAATTATAAAGTGTGAAGCCATACGCACTAAAGTTAGAACAAAAAAAATAAACAGTGTTGTTAAGAGCTCGACGATGTTACAACGAAAGTTATTTCTAGCCAGGGCCAGTGCTACGTTAGTTTTAGGTTTAAGCTCACAGTATGAACTTTGCCTCAAACAGTGATATGTTGGGGAGTTTTGGGGCTGTGTTGTTAATCTATTGCACTTTAAAGAATTGAGATTGGGAATTCAAAAATGACCTTAGAAAAATGCCAGTGCTACGTTAACCCAAACGCCATAATGTCATAAAGCCAGGCTAGCTAATGCTAAGTAATAAGCAACAATGGATCGACAACCTTAAAACAATGGTTCCTACCATCAATTTTTTCGATAAAGCTTTAGCGAGTACGCAACAAAGTATATAAATACCAATACAACCAGCTATAGAAGTTGCTAACGTTAGCTATCTGCTAACTAGGCCAATGTGTTTATCCTGGGTCAGCGTAATTGCTGGAACGTAATGTATCCCGTGAGTGTTCCTTACTACAGGATTACGATTGATTTCAACATTTTAATTATGCCATGCCATTCTCTCAGATTAATATATACTCCAGGCTATAAAGAAAAGTTCAAATGAAAAAACAGCATTTGTTCCTTATAATCCGTGAACTGGAACCCTCGATGAACTAGTTTAGCTTCAGGAAGTAGACGGCCCCAGATCTTGCAAGGCAGCCCTGAAGCTTTCCTTTAGTTTCAAATTTAGCAAACCCTGGTTGTGATTTACACACAACTAACAATTTAATCATACATTTTCAACAACTTTTCTTTATAACCTTTGTTGTGCTGTGTACAATTTAAAAATAGCTGAAATTAATTACTGTTTGAATTTATTTTGTATGGCAACCTTGTGGTATATGTAGCCTATTTTATGTATTTATATATATATATAGGCCTACATATCTTATTATTTTTAAAACACATAAGCCTACTTTGGCATTTGTCACTAACTATATCCTGCACACACATATAGTTTATTAGCCTAACTGAAATATAAATGGAAGAAAATGTTTTGTTCGTCTGTGACCCCTTATGGTGGGTCTCCTAACACAGATTGACTTAGAATCCAATGGCTGCAAACAACACAGGCCTACTGTTTCTACTAATAGAATCAGGCAGAGTTTCAGCTCTGGCAAATAAGCAAGCTGAGCTGGGAATCCTTTCAGGAAGACTTGATAGCCTATGTTCCTGTCAATATGAAGCCTAACAACTGTGGGGATTAGGAAATCATACTAAATTATCATGTTTGTTTTTTTAAATCAAGGAGCATTGTGCAGTTTTAGAGCCATTGGTGCTCCTGCATAGACCAAAGCCTGTAAGGATTAGCAAACATGATTTAATCTCTCTGTCTAACATGGTTGTTGCTGCAATTGAGAGATGAAAGATATAAATCGTTGTAGGCCCATGGATGGCTTTGAAATCTAAATGAAAACAATGGCCGATATATATCTGAGCACAGAGGGCTATGTTTTTAAGATTTTTATGAAGACAGATTTAGTTTACTTCTAGTGTGATTTGTGACTTATTGAAAGAAACATGTAACTTTAAGAGACTCCCTCCAACCCCATACAACCTGCTTGTTATGTGTGTTATTTTGTGGATGGCTATGGATCAGGGCAAAGTCACATTTCATGCTCGAGTCGTCCTGACAGGACGAGTTTTAGACCGCCCAGCTGAGCTCTGTGTCTCTCTGATCTCCTTTATAACTCCATTACAAGACTTTATTAAGTTTCCAGCCACTGCTCGGGTGCTGTGGGCCCATCTCCATCCACTTACAAATAAGAGTTAATTCTTAGTTTGATTCCTACTTTACAGCACATCACCGTATGGATACATGTAGATTTAGCTGGCCGTAGAAGAGGAATTGTACTTTAAAATGATTGATTTGTTGTTGAGATGTTTGCAGTTTCCTGTAATGACCAGCAGGGTGCGCTGCACTCTTAGGGATTGAATGCAAATCATTGAATAGGAAACATTTTCATGTCCTAAGTATTTGCTCTGACACACTCTACCGGCTTGTTTTATAATATTCTCCTATTTTAGTTGTCCACCCTCATATTTCCCAGAAACTCGAAACAGTGAGCGATCCAATGGCCTTAACTTCACAACACATGCCATTGGGTTATACTCTACTGTAATAAACTGCTTTTTATGCTTCTGGAAAGTTTAATAATATACCCCAAGGCATCAGTAAACTCATATGTTTACCTTTCCTATCAATAACAATTTGGCTGTTAATCCGAATCTGCCGAATAGCTTGTAACTTTTTTAAATCAAATTTGTACCTGAGTAAATTATATTCTTATTCATGGCCTTGACCGTTCCTGTCTCGTGTAATTCAGTTCGTCGTTGTTTGTTATGGCAGAAGAAGGAGGTGGGAGTGCGTAAAGTGTGCGCCTTGTTTGGAATCATATTACGCACAGCCTGCATGGACAGCAGCGCCGGGGAGGGACTTGAAACATGTGGGATAACTGTTGCGCTCGGCTCTCTCTCTCTGCTCGGACGCTTTTCTGGGACAGCAGAAATCTGCGCTTGCGGGAAACACCTGCACTTACTATTTCCCAGAGTTAACGGGCCAGCTGCGAGTATTAAAGTTGTACCCTCCGGTTATTTTTCGCTGGAGTTGTGATAATGTTAGGCAGCGGTAAGTCAGCGACCAGCAGTCCGAAAGAGCAGAGGAAGAAAGGAGCTGAGAAGCCCATAGACCCCATCAGGAGGCTCGGTAAGAAAATCCAAACTTTTTGAGGTCCATGGGATAAAAACACTATAAGAACTTATGTGAGTATGTGAATATATTTTGTATGGAAGGTTTTCTCCTGTGCTATCACCTCAGTGATACAGTTATTTAGTCACTTTAGTCAAGAATTAGAGTGTAATATATTTAACTTTTGTATAAAGTGACTGTTAATCACCAGATAATGACACATCAACCAGAGCTGAAAGGAACAGTGTTTGTTTGTTTGTTTGTTAGTGAGTGTGTGTGTGTGTGTGTGTGTGTGTGTGTGTGTGTGTGTGTGTGTGTGTGTGTGTGTGTGTGTGTGTGTGTGTGTGTGTGTGTGTGTGTGTGTGTGTGTGGGTGTGTGTGGGTGTGGGTGTGTGTGTGGGGGTAATCATGTGTTAATGAAGAGCTGAAGTCACTCACTAGTGAATCAGGCTGCTCACTATTCACATCCCAGCCTGGTTCTCAGTCCAACTACATTAGGCTGCATGCTACCACTTTACACAAACCTTCTATGCTCACATTCTAACCTCACCCCAATAAAGACACCTGTTGAGCACCTGTCAGAATATCTGCAAGACACTGGATGTCTAGACATCTGCAAAGAAAACTGCTCTGAAGGTTTTATCTCCGAACATTGAACGCCTGATTGTTGTTTTGCTTTGTTTACACAGCAGTGTGTTTGCAGGGCTCTAAACCATTAATAATCCAACAAGTAGACCTCATCATTTTTTTAGGTTGACTTAAAAAATACTTAATTATAATACTTACTTTTAGAATTGATACATTTTCGAAATGATTGCCAATTGTTCTTTTGTCAACCTACAACTTTTTTAGTTACCTAATCATTATACATTATACACGGTTGCCCATAAAGTTGGAATAACATGTGTTGTATACCTCTGCTCATGAAATGATTGTTTGTGTAAATAGGAATAAAAAGAGGAATGTGTCTGAAAACACCATTATTCCAACTTTTTGGGCAACAGTGTACATCAGTATACGTTCAGATCCAAACATTTTCTAATTGAGTTAGCTCAGCTCCTGCCCGTCCCTGAACGTATACCCCAGCTTTTTTCCCAGCAGTGTATGTGCATGAATCTAGAACAGTGTCTCGCTAATACCAAAAAATCAAGCCAGTGAGCTCACCCACCCACCCCCACCACACCCTGACCTCTTTCAGCCATGTGTCAACATAAATCAGCGAGGTGGCTTTCAACACACCATGCCTTAGCAGCTTTTAATCCTTACTTACTTCAGAGAAAGAAAGAAACACACACACTGTACTTTCATAATGAAAACAAGTGGAACTAAGGGGGTCAGATTGCTGTGTCATGAGGTGTCACAGAACAAGTTTTCCTTGTTTGTTAAAATATTTCTCATTTGCTGTTAACCTCTTCATTACGATAATGTTTCAGGTGAACTGGAAGTTTGTTAGTTTTGAGAAAATCTATATTTGAGTCAGATAAGTCCACACATGGATACATATATGTTTTGCTGTCACTGACATCTCCTGGGGCGGTCTTGTATTTGGTTCTGAGACAGACTGAGGTTGTCAGCAGTGTTGTGCACTCTGGGGTGCTGTGATTGTGAAACACAGGAATTAGTTCATTGCGAGAACAAACAAGATTCACACAAACAAAATCCATAAATCTATTCACTTCCAGATCTTAAAACCATTTTATGAAGCTTGCATTTACATTTTCAAACATAAACTCCAGAGTATTGAAAAGTAATTCAACCTTTATGTACACACGACTATTCTTAATTTTATTAAAAATGCTTTTAACATAATTCTGAAAACATATGAGGTTTCAGGAATCTGCTACAGGGAAAGGATGCATATGTTTTGTCTGGGATGTCAGAGACTATTTTAATTAATCAGGGATTTCCACATGTCAGAGATTTATAAACTTATATTCAACTAATAAAGTAAACAGTACCCTCCACAATAATTCTACAGCACAGCTAAACAGTTGTTTGGGTCTGACATCTGGGGTTACTAGAAAGGGGCCATTCAAATAATACAATCATTTTTAAATCCTTGTATTACGAAAAAATACCCCCCCAAAAATGGGACATTCCACTTCTCACACCATCTGATGATATGAACTCATCTGCCAACCTCAGTATCCAGCAGAGAAATCCCCAACAATTTAAGATCTTTGGCCTAAAGAGAAGCGAGACCCAACTTGCGATTCATGTTCATACCTTTGTTTTTTATATCTTTCTAATTCATGTTTGCGTAAGATACCATTTTGAAAGAAGGTAAAAACACAATCAAAAAACGATATTAAAGTTGCAATAGCTGATTACATTTGAGCTGATATCTACATAACAGTTACTTCCTTGAACTATTCCTGCGAATTCATACAAAAGATGAAGAAAATGTGAGTGTTGCTTATTATCAGCTGAATAAGAACCAGACAAAACCATTGAAACGTTATTCTGTATTTTAAAATAAAACTAAATTAGTTTCTAGGCAAGGCAAGGCAAGGCAAGGCAAGGCAAGGCAAGGCAAGGCAAGGCAAGGCAAGGCAAGGCAAGGCAAGGCAAGGCAAGGCAAGGCAAGGCAAGGCAAGGCAAGGCAAGGCAAGGCAAGGCAAGGCAAGGCAAGGCAAGGCAAGGCAAGGCAAGGCAGGCAAGGCAAGGCAAGGCAAGGCAAGGCAAGGCAAGGCAAGGCAAGGCAAGGCAAGGCAAGGCAAGGCAAGGCAAGGCAAGGCAAGGCAAGGCAAGGCAAGGCAAGGCAAGGCAAGGCAAGGCAAGGCAAGGCAAGGCAAGGCAAGGCAAGGCAAGGCAAGGCAAGGCAAGGCAAGGCAAGGCAAGGCAAGGCAAGGCAAGGCAAGGCAAGGCAAGGCAAGTTTATTTATATAGCACTTTTCAACACAAGGCAATTCAAAGTGCTTTACAAAAAATGAAAGAGATTAAGAAAATGGCATTTAAAATCAGTCATTAAAAAGAAAAGCTAATAAAAAAAAAACATTTTCCTGAGATAACTGTTCTCAGATCAGCCGCTGAGAGTCTCCAGAGTACGGTCAAGCTCTTCCCAAATCATAACTCTAAATACCATATATATCATTATAGGTTGGATCTTGTTCTAAGAGTTACCCTATTCGCTGCCTAATCCGTCTTGTTGAAACAGCTGTGGGACAGAATTAAGAACATTTAATTGGCCTGTCACCCATATCATATCTACAACATCCTAACCCTCCATCTTGATGCAAGTGTAGAATCCTTGCTGTCTCTCGTGTCAGTGGTAATGCTGAGAGAAACGTGAACTGTGTCCCGGCAGGAGCTGGTATGTGCGCCTGAATGAAGAGGACACATGTAGACACACTCTATTACTGACCAGCTGATATGGTTATTTTCTTTCTGATCCTCCTATCAGTTTCAAGGCACTCCTGCTGCTCATAGTGTGAAACACCCTTAGAAAAATAATCCATATGAGATTCTTTTGAATGTTTGTTGTTTTCTCACAGCTGATCCAGCAACCTTCTTCTTTTAGCCAATTCTTTTCACATGCTGTCAGCTATCCAACTGTTTACAATCTCTCTGTAGGTCTGTGGATTGGCTTGTCCACAACTTTGGTCCAGAGTGTAACATCTTAACTATTGGATGGATTGCCATGAAACTGTGTACCGACATTCAAGGCCCTTTAAGGGGTAATTCTTGTTGGATTACTCCCTGACTCTTGCCCCTTCAGCAGGTCAAACGTATCACTTATCATGAGAACATCTCATAATCTAGCAGAACAAATTAATTAGGACCAATTTGTAGACAATTCTGGTTACTAGATGATGAATAACTTTTTCCTCTAGTATGACTTCGCTCCTTTTAGGTTAAATACTAAACACCTTGATAGATGAAATTAGAAGTCCTCTATTTGTTCCGGAAACGGGGACATTTATACTATTACAACAGCAGATATTGTAGATATAGTGAGGAAAACATCACACTCTGGTACTTCTACTTTTACTAAGGTACACGATCTGAGTACTTCTCCCACTTCTGCTATTTAATGTTATCATAGAGTAAAACATTTATCCGTCAAAAATATGTTGTGTATGAACAAAATGATCTGCAAAATGTACGGAACATCCATCAGGCTCAGCTGTACAGTGTTTATGGCAAATAAGCTAATGTAACCATGCTATTGAGCTAAATAAAGATGGTACATGTTACAAACATAACAAATGCTGAGGTGCTTTTGCTAGCATAGCTAAAAGTGGTGCTTGGTTAGCAGCTAGCATGGTTGTAGACTCCTTTAACCTTCTTTACTTTCCACCATGCCGGTTCTGCTGCTTTTCTAATTACTGTGCAGTGTTGAAATGCTTCATGCCAACTGCCTAGCAGGGTTGCTAGCCAGTTGGAATGCAGGTCTTTGAGCATGTGATGTAGTGGATGTCAACCAGATTTTCTGCAGTAGACGATGAAAAGAAAATACGATTCAGATAGCCCGAAGAATCATGTCCATCCCTCCATTTACGGCCTTATAAAGGGGTTTTCAGGAGCATAGTGTATCAACATGTGAATTTGCTCCTGTTAAAATGCACTGTGGATTACATCTGTGGGATTTGCCAACACTTTCAGGCTTGTGCTCACTTGTCCGTTTTGGTTAGATATTAAAATGATGCAGGTAGGAAAGAAAGAATGTGGTTGAGGCTTGAGAGGCAATAAAAAGAGGTAAAGCAGTGTATTGAGAAAGAGGCAGTAAAGGCTGTTTGGGCAGTTTAGCGTGGTCAATGACCTGCAGTTAATCAGGCCCATGTGCTCTGCTTGTGAGAATGCCTTGTATGTGGTAACAGCTTGGAAAACAGGGTTGTTATGGATGGAGGGCTGGTAGGGGGGTTTCTTTGTCCTCAACCCTAGTGGGGAGAGCTCCTCTGCTGCACCCAGTTTGTTTCTAGTCAGGGGGAGGGAGCTGGGAGCTCAGTTTCTGTTGTGCTGTTGCTTCGGGGGCCCTCTGAGGAACTCTCTCAGCCGTTTGCCACTGAAATAATAAGGACTAGGATTTAAGGGAACGTTAAAGAAAGTATGCCAACAGTTTCTGGTCAAATCTTCAAGGGTGAGCAGATGAGTCCAATCCTAAAGAAATATTTGACAAGAGTTAGAGTTTGTTAGACCTTTCCTTTGAAAAGCCCTGAAAGAGAAGAATGCTCTTTGAGAGGACCCATTCATCCCTGCAAAAGAAGCAATGAGGCATGGCTGAATGTGCTCTATTAACACTTGTACTGTAAAGCATGATTTTTTTATAATAAATTACAAAGTAGTCTGGTATAACTACTGCTTAACTAAACCATTAAAACCGATGTTTGAGTAGATTTATGCACCAAAAGTGTGGGACAATTTCTACACCAGTTTTGCTAAATGTAAATTTGCATTATACAGGATCTTCAGACCCATTTTTTGTCTGAATGTTTGAATATTTTCAGTAATTTTCAGATAGCTACTAACCACTAAGGACACATATTCCCCTTTGCCCACCAAAACACTAGACCAAGATGATTCAGTAGGCTTAACTACTGCCTATCAAACCTTTTAAACTAATGACCCACATCTCTGCCACATCTTTAATTGTTTGTTTTGTTAAAAAAAACTGTCCAAACCTTAAATATATTCATTCAAAATAGATTACTTGTTTTTTTTGTCAGCTTTGATTTAGTCCCTTTTTTTGATCTTATCAAAACCAGCTCATGTAAACCAAACAACGGTATTTACAGTACTCTGTTTCACTTTCAGTTGTATTCTTAAAGTAGGCTACCTTATTCATTTTCATTAAGTCCAGACTGGGAGAAAATACACATGGAAACATTATGTGAAACATCAAGTCACTTTTTAAGACACTCCATGACGGCTACACACAACACCACACTGAATACGCTGAGCACAGGTCATGTACTGCAAGGTTTGTATAGGAAACACAACCTTGAGTTTAGGGTAAAGCATGTGTTGACTGTATATAATAATGAGAGGCCGGCTTTAGAAATACAGTCAAAAAGGTTGTATGTTCCAGGATTACGGCTGTTGCATAGGAGTTTGTCAATTCTAAAAGCAATAAACACTGGTCAGGGCCGGCCCTGACCAATTTGCTGCCCTAGGCAAGATTTTAGCTGGCTCCCCCCCCCACATGATTTAAGTGGGGGGGAGACCTAACCTCCTCTAGGGAGGTCCGGAGGCATGCTCCCCCCGTGAAGATTTTAATATTGAAGTTAAAAGTATCAATCTGGTGCACTTTGAGAGCAAAATTAAGAGATCAATGGACATCTCTCAACATCCATATGAAACAGAACTGTAAGCAGATTTTCTTTTTCTTTATGAATATTTTAAAAATCACTCCCCTTTTAAAACTGTATTCTTGTTTATTAATAACAACTTTTTTGTACTGTCATATAGTATTTTATACCTGTTTTTCATCTATTCTCTTATTTTTGTATAACTATAATGATCATATAAAGGTGTGCCTTTACCTCACTGAGCTCAGGTTATCTTTTAACGGCCGATTGTGTTCAAAATGTGTACATTTTATTGATTTTACGAGCAAACAATGTTTGTTTACAACTTCTTCCCAAGCTTCACGCGCCCCCCCTGCAATATCGCTGCGCCCCCCCAGGGGGCGCGCCCCCCAGATTGGGAACCACTGGTGTAGCTGATAACGGCCGCAGAGTTGTTAGCATGGCTGTAGTACAGGGGTGCCCAACCAGTCGATCTGGGAATCTCCCCGCGATCGACCGGTCTATCGCGGGGAGATTCCCAGTCGATCGCGAGATGTGTCTAAAAATAGAACAACAACATTCTGTTGTATCGTTAATGTCCTGTAACATAATCTTCCTGTCCAGAATAATGCACTTGAACGCATCAAAGCTTTGTGATTGGCCGGCGAGACCCCTATGTGTCGGGGCGTGACTGGTGGGCATTGGGCAGTATTTCGCTGACGTTGTCCGTGTCAACAGAAGTGACAGTCCGCACACACACACAGGACCGCAATTATGGCAGAAGCAAAAAAGCCCAAAATATATAATTTTCACTCCGAGTGGGAGGATGATTATTTTTGTATCTATTCCAATTCAAAGTCCATCTGTCTCATCTACAATGTGAACGTGGCTTTATCGAAGAAGGGTAATTTAGGAGCGGCATTTCAAAACAGTGCACAAACGATACGAGACGGAATTCCCTCCTAATTCTGCCCTACGCTCCCAAAAGGGGAGGGGCCTGAAAGCACAGCTAAATGCACAGCAGTCCATTTTCACCAGGCCCAACAACAAGAGCAAGGCTGCTACCATAGCATCTTATCGTGTCAGTCACGTTCTTGCGAAACACATGAAGTCTTTCAAAGACGGCAAAGTTGTGAAAGAAGCTTTCCTGGAGGCTGCCGACGAGCTTTTGGGGGACAGTCAAAATAACAGTAGCATTTCAACAGGTTTTTGATATAATAAAAACTCAAGTTAGATACCGTTATTAATCAGCTGTAAGTTTTAGTTTGTTTGAATTTATTCATTATTGTACAAAATGGTATAAGAATGCAAACATTCAGATCTGTTCTGTTTAAATTGATTATAGTCTATTATCAATTCAGGTTAAGAAACTAGTGTTGCTTGCATCCTATTTTAAAAGGCATTTATTTGTATACTCTACTAAAATGCAACAAAAAAAGGGTTTGATTCTATTCATTTTGTATTTGTTATTGCACTGTTGCAGCAGATTCCTGTGTAGCTTCAGATCTGAGTTGTCTTATTAGTAAGCCTAATTTATACTTTTGTAGCAACACTATTTTTATATAATGGCAAAGAAAGGGTTCAGTGTATTTTCTTTTTTCCCTGTGTCACATGTGGCAGCACTGTTCAATGTTTCTTGAAAACATTACCCACTGTAGTATGTGATGTGTGAATAAACTCCAACAACACTGTTGTGTAACTTCAGTTAAATACTTGTATGTGTGTAGATTAGAAAGAGGTAAGATAAAGGATCTGCAGTATTTTATGAAGTATTCATCGTACAAAGGTCAGTTTTATTCAAGTAGAAGTGTGTATTTACCTACGCCTCTCTATTTGGACTGGTAGATCTCGGCAGACTGGCAACTTTAAAAGTAGCTCTCGGTTCGAAAAAGGTTAGGCACCCCTGCTGTAGTAGATGCTAGGTCTTGCCATCCTTACAGACTGTACAACATTAATCATGATTTAACTACTCACTTACAAAGGAAATATTACGATCTTAAGGTACCGTTTTTTTAAACATGTTTTTTTTTAAACGACAAATGGGCATAAAACCAAGACAAACTACTTACTCAATCACAATACATTGTTTACACTAAAACCTTCTTTTTTTGTGTATGCTTGTGTGTTCCAGGGCTGCTGGACAACGAGGATGTTCGTGTGATGATGCAGGGCTGCAGCATGGTGAAGGTTCGCTCTTCGAGATGGCAGAAGAGTCGAAACATGCGGCTGATGGATGATGGACTCACTGTGTGGTGTGAATCTACAAAGAGTTCCCGCAAAGCCAAAGCCCAGCAGACATGTAAGTATTGCTGAAATATGGTCAGGGAGAGCTAGAAGGAGAGCACACAGTGTGTGAAAGAGGCCACAGACTAAAAGTCAGTTATAAGATGTGAGCATGGTTAAAGGGGAAAGGAGCTCTGAAAGTAAGAGTGCTCATGAATAGAACTTGCCTTTAAAAGGAAGGAAATTATAGCAATATCAGGTTAAAGGGAAAGGGCGTTGCCTCGAAGGAAACGTATCTACAAGGGGAAAATGTTGAGACTAATCAGCAGGACTTCCACCAGCCCAGTACAGACTGCAGACTGAGTCAGCGTGCTCATTAAACCAGCCTATTGTTCAAAGTTGTTGAGCTGTTTTATCTTGGCTCCATCTCATATCCTCTACTCTAATTGTTCTTGTTAAAAAGGTTGCTTGTTTGTTTCCATGGTAAGTCAGTATAAAATAAATAAAATATTCATATCATAAATACATTCTGGTTAAACAGTCCATCATACTTACAATAATAGCTAATATTATTATAGCAAAATAAAAACGTTGCTCAGGCCTTATAACAATACAGTTCTTATAAAGAGATCTTATAGTTTCTTGATGAATATTGTTTACTGTTTTATATTAATATTAGGGCTGTCAAGTTAACGCGTTAATAACACGTTAACGCAAAAAAATGGTACGCCACTAATTATTTTAATGCGATTAACGCATGTGTATTTTTTCCTCGGACGCCCCGTAGTTTCAGAGCGCATCGAGTTTAAAATACCATCTACAAGCTGATGCTGACAGCCCCGCTCCTGCCGCCCGCTTGTGGCAGACCACACTTCCACGCTCACCGGCAGGCACCGACTGGCTATTGGGAGGACCGGGAGGGTGTGTGTATGTGTGGCTCGAGCGAGCGAGAGAGAGACCTTACGTGCATTGTTGTTGTTAGCATCTGGTGCTAGCTAGCTGCGCTAACAGATATAAGGAGCTGCTTAAATAAAAACAGAGGAGCGACCAGGGTTCGAGTTACGTGGGAGCCAATGGGAGCTGAGCTCCCATAAGGAGGTGCCTGAGCTCCCACAGACCCAATGAAATCAAACATCTGTGGGGGTCGCTAATATACATTACCAACAACCATTATTTTGATCACAATTAATGCATTTTTCAATGTAATGAGTATTATTTACGTTAACGAGGTAAATAGGCAAACAAAACAATGTTTTCCAAAAGAACTACGCATCGTATTCTCTCTTGAATGACAATATGCACTTCACCTCTAAGGTGCGCAATAAAATATTGCGCAATCTATGCCTGTGAGGCTGTGAACGTGCTGCGCGCGCCCGAAGAATGAACCGTTATATCAACAGACATTCAAATATATTGACAAGATACACACATACTACGAGTACCGTAGGCTAGCAGACGAGTACTATGCCGCCCAAAAAAAGGCCACTGCCGCCGACGGGGTCTACAAGCCTGGCTAGTTTTGGTTTTCTCACAAAGAAACAAAAAACAGCTTTTGACAACCAAAATGCACCTGCTAGCGTGACAGCTAGCACTAACCTTGCAGCTACGGAGGATTCTGTCTTTGCTAGCGGACCTGATGCTGTTGAATGTGGGACCACCTGCACACACGAAGAAAGTTCCGAAGCGGAGCGGCATGAGGAGGCAGGAGGTACTGCTACAGAAGGACTCTTAACTGGGGACACAATCAGTGGAGATCCTGGAAAGAAAGAAACCCCTGGCTGTTTTCAAAGGAGGGTGGTCTTGGATGCCTCGTCTGTAAGGAAGCCAAGACTCTCTTACTTTCGGAGAAAACATATGGAACGCATTTGGCGGATGCCTGGATCAATGGGACTGTGAGTAGCCCTGTGCAGAAGCAGTTGCGGACATTTTTTGTACATACACCGCGACTCTATTGCTCATAACGAGCTGTTGAAATAGCGGAACTCAAACTAAAACAAGTGCTTCCGAAGAAAGTTGCAGAACTCAGCTCCAGCCTGTTTAATGAGACAGCTAGTTCAGGGCAGCCTATACTGTCGCTAAAGAAAGGTTGCCTTATACAAAATTGAAACCCATTATGCAACTTAATGAGATGAATGGTGCGACAGTCGGCCCTGCTCACAGATCCGATCATTCATGTGCCCAGATTGTGGAGCACATTGCACAAGAGATGAAAAAGAAATGTATTTCTAATATCAAATCACTTGATTCCCGTATTAGTCTAACGCTAGACGAAAGCACAATTCATGGACGCGCATACATGATTATTTATGTCAGGTGCGATGTCACTGGGAATGGAGATATGGACAATGTGTATTTTGACATTGTTGAACTGGACCAGGGCACTGATGCAGAGTCGCTGTGGAGCGCACTGAAAAACAGCCTCCAGGCGGGGGGAATGGATGAAGAGTTTATTCGTAAAAACCTAATTAGCATAGCCACAGACGGTGCTGCCGTGCTAACCGGGAGACAGAATGGACTCAGGCTGAAAAAGGATTTCCCTCGTCTTCAGGCAGTTCATTGTCTAGCTCATCGTTTGGAATTAGCGGTGAATGATTCATTGAAGGCTGTGGCAGGCTGTAATCATTTAGAGTTTGTCCTCGCTAAACTCTATTCTCTTTACCACCAGGGAGTTAGAGGAAGCGGCTGCGGAACTGAACATGCAGATTCTGAAAATCGGACAAGTCTTTACAATTAGATGGGTTTCCAGCAGTTACAACACTGTGCTGAAGGACTTCCCAGTGTTAGCACATCACTTTAAATCTGCTAGTGAAGATGGCTCACGTTCCGGTGCAGAGAAAGCCAAGTACACTGGTTTACTAAAGCATCTGACATCCACACTGATTTAGCGACAATGAAAGACGTGTTACGTGAATTACAAAGTCTCTCCCTGAAACTACAGAAACGCGACACGTCCCTGGTTGATGCAAGCCGCTACATACATCAGACGATCGAGGTGCTCTCTGCCACGAAGGACAACGATGGGGAAACTGAACTAAAAGTCAAAGCGGGCATAACAAGCGGCCAGTTCAAAGGGCTTGATATTAGAGAAACTCAACCTAAAGTAAAGAAGTCCCAATTTTACCAGTCAATCCTTGATAATCTCACCAGGCGTCTCCCCGATAGTGAGCTGGTAACTATGTTGAAGCCTCTGGATCAGCACTTCTGGCCAAAAGAGAGGACAGAGCTTGTTCTGTTTGGAGAAAGGGAGGTGGGGAAGTTTGCTAAACTTCTCGGAGAGTCTGCAACTGAAGCTGTCAGTGAGTTCAGAGACTGGAAACTTCAACAACAAGGCAAGGAACATCAGGGTAAAACCTTGAAAAGAATGATAGTGGCGAGCAACACTGTTCTTCCGACATCTGCAGAGTGCGAGAGGGGCTTTTCGGCATGCAATGACACCGACTGCAAGACCAGGAACCGACTGCAAGACCAGGAACCGGCTGCAAGACCAGGAACCGACTGCAAGACCAGGAACCGACTGCAAGACCAGGAACCGGCTGCAAGACCAGGAACCGGCTGCAAGACCAGGAACCGGCTGCGAGCCAGAAGCCTCAACGCATTGTTGTTTGTGGACTTAAATGGGCCTCCTATCAACACATTTGACCCTTTCCCATTCATCCAATCGTGGATAAATAAAGGACATCGGACTTCCACATCATGGGTTCCAGGACCGCGACCACAGCCTGCTGAAAACAGACCACTTTGGGCTATTTTATCTGCGTAAAGGTGCGTGTGTGTCTGTGTGTGCGTGTGTGTGTGTGTTTGTTGGACCACGTAAAGTGAAGTCAGTCTCTCTCTCTCGTTTTATCTGTGAGAGCTAATTTTTGTATTTTCTTTAATTTGTATAGCTCTTACGTTGTTATTGATTGTGTACGAGTTCATGTGTTTGAGCATGCGCAGTCTGTCCTGAAGTTGTGGAGAGAGAGTAAAAGCTAATAAACGGAGGCGCTGTTTGTGACGCTCCACAAGTACAGAGTTCCTGAGTTTTTGTGATTTTGTAATTATCTTTGAACCTAACACATCAGACACTAATTGTATACTCTCAAGGGTGTGCAATATATACCATCAGTTGGAGTCTGCACCTCCAAGGTGCGCAATATATTATTGCGCAATCTATGCCTGTGTGCGTGCGCGCCTGCACGTGCGCGCGTGCAGGCGCAGGCATGCGTTAGTTTTAAAGACCCCCATAGAGCTCAGTTTATAACTCGAACCCTGGGAGCGACATTTCACCGACAACTGCGCCGAGCACTTGACTTTATGCAGGTAGCCAGACAGTGGGACATTGTACGAGAAGTCAGCACACTCAGCACGGATAGTGCGCCACATGATTGCAGCGTCCAGGCAGCTCCCGTTCGAGCATATGCCTTGAGTTGCACATAGCTCCAACGATCCATCTCACACACACATACACACACACACACACACACACACACACACACACACACACGCACACACACACACACACACACACACACACACACACACACACACACACACACACACACACACACACACACACACACACACACACACACACACCATTTGTATTGTATTAGGTTCCAGGTTGAATTGAGGCGAATATTTGTAATGTTCAGAAGTTGTTGTGTTTAATATTCATGAGAATATTTGTCATTGTTCAAATGATAATAAACATTAGCATAAAGCATATTTGTCCACTCATATGTTGATAAGAGTATTAAAAACTTGAAAAATATTCCTCTAAGGTACATTTAGAACAGATAAAAAATGTGCGATTAATTTGCGATTAATTGCGATTAAATATTTGAATCGACTGACAGCCCTAATTAATATTGTTTAGAATTTGCATTGAACCTTTAAACTATATAAATATTGTTTAACTTTTGATGTTTTGGTCTCAATGTTAATACAGCTACAACTGTTTTATTGGAGGAAAATAATAATGAAAAATAACTTAATGAAATGAAACGTCTTCAGGCCAAGCAACTATTTTAAATAGAAATTATTTTTAACCACCCTTTGTGTAATATCTGTGACAGCATACAGTCTCCAAACTACACCAGTGACCAGATTTACAATTACACAAAAGTAATTTCAATAATTGTGGTGGTAATCATAAAAAAATATGAAATGCTAAGAACATTTTGCATTTTTGTGAGCTTAGGTCTTCTAACCTCCGCAGATGCATTTAACCTTTCTCATATTGAAACAAAAGTAAAGTATTCAAACAAAAGAGATTAGAAAATACCAAAGGGCACAGTGTTTATTTAAACTAAAAGGCACTGGGAAGGCAAATCCATGTTTGGCTCTTAATCTTTTTTGATACTGGGTTGTAGTAGAGCGTGGCTAAGCAAGGACTTCACAACATTTCCAAAAGTTCTTTAAATGGAACTTTTGCAAAAAAATCTCTTTTTGCTTGAAGTATCTCCCTTTTGTTTTCCTCCTTGTTGATTGACCTTTAGCTCTCCCACCTCTTCTCTGTTTGTGCTCTCATTGCCGATGTTAGAATGCAGTTTGATGCTCACCCCCTCTAGCCTTACAGAGAGGGGGGGGTTGGCAGGTTTATGGGTCAGGAGGTGGTGAAGGCTGTCTTGATTGTGCTGCAGCAGCTCCAAAAATACACACAGAGCGCTCAAGTTGCAGCATGTAACACTCCTTGCAATGATGACAACAAGCAGTGTGAGGACAGGATGGGCTCTGTAGTGTGGACAGTTACTGATAATGTCACACTGGCACGCTGCTATGTCTAAGTGTTTGTTTGTGTGAATCCAGGATGAAATACTGGTTTCTCTTTTCCAAAGCCCCAGGTGGGTCTCCAGGTCCTGTGTGATCTGGACATGCAGTTCAGTGCAGCGTCTGATGCTCGAAAGCATTTGTCAGTAAACACAAAGCTTTAAACATCTGCATTTCTGCCTTTCTAAACCACACACACATGCACATACATGTCACTTTTACCATGTCTCCGGGATAACCGCTAAGTAGGAATGTGGAGTAATTTTGAAGAGGTGGACGGCAGAGGCTTTATTACCTCCAGCAAGAGAAAGATGCTATTGTCAAGCCAGACACTGCTTATTACTCAACTGAGCATTGTTTACAACACAGCAGGCCCTCAAGTGCAGACATAGACAACTCCTAACTGTAGTAAATAAAGTTGATGTGTTAGGACCTGCTGGTAGGTAGTGTGTGTTTGGCTGCCTTTTCTTTGAGTGTTGCCCAGACCCACCAGAGCTTTGAAAATAGATTTAAACAGATGAAATAAAGTACTAATCTTCACTTTATTGGACTAGGACTCCTTTGACAAAATCATACACAGATAAATACAATTGTTTTGGGGATGACAATGTTGCTCATAGAGTTCAATTTCTTTCAATTGTCTACAAGTTGCAGCCTTACTTTGGATTATGACTTAATACCTGAAGATATTCCAATCATCCTTAGCTGTACTTCAGCACTTATTAGGTAACGCAAGCATGCTAACCTTCTTAATTGATATGTCGAACATTGTAAACATTATATGAGCTTAACATCTACATGTTTGCAATGTCGTTATGATCTTGTTAGCATGGAAATGTTAACATTAAGCTAATAAAGCCTCACAACATGTCTTAGACTTTGTCTTTTTTTTGTTTATATCCTAAAAGTGAACTTTTCTCCATGTTGCTATAGTAACTGCTCTAAAACCCATTACAACACCCTGCTCTTTAACTCTCAGTAGGGAGAGCGTCTGCAAGTCAGTGCGTGTGCTGTAAGAGTCATAATGTGCAGGTTAAAATTATCACATTGAGAAGTATGCAATGTGCATATTATATTTTACAATCCTGTTGCTATGGCATTCTGGTGTTATTTATTCATCCCTGAAGAGCACATGACGTCTGACCTTAAGCTGCTTCGCTCCTTGCATTGTTGTGATCTCTTTGCAGAGCTTTGTTTACTCAACAACACAATCACTTTTTATTTTCCTCTCCTTTTCCAGTCGCAGTGACTGAAGTGGAGTGTGTGCGTGAAGGCTGCAAGTCTGAGGCGCTGAGGCGGCTGTCCGGGTCGGTGCCAGAGAGCCAGTGCTTCACGGTGGTCTTCAGAGGGGCCCGGAAGAGCCTGGACCTGTTGAGCCCCTGTGAAGATGCAGCAAGACGCTGGGTACGAGGGCTCCGCACTTTGAAGGAGCATGTGGCCAACATGAGTCAGAAGCAAAAACTGGACCAATATCCTTCCCAGATTTCCAATATGCTAAAATGAATATAGTGCAGCTGAGTCAGCATTGCTATGGCGACTGATTCTGCAGTCACGTGTGCCATCTCACGTCCACAGCATAGCTAAGGTGAGCAGTAATGACTAGATAAAAAAGGCATGTCTAAATATAGTTTGACACTTACTGTTAGTCACAATCCTTCACAGCCAGAGGATAATATGACTGTAGGTATCAGGTACTTAAAGACATTAACATCGTTTCTGCTTTTCGATATATATTACGTTTTGTGAACATATAAATCTTCAGGGCAATTATCTTGTTTATGCTACCTTGTTATATCATTTTACTCTACTGTATTTCATGTTGTTGACTTTCAGCAGTCTGGGTTATCTTAAATGGTGTAATGTGTGGGGTCTGCGTTATAGTTTCCACAACTCTATTAGCAGGTGACAACAAACTATAATTAGTTTCTGGTTGCTACCTTTTCTTATACGCACATATCGTACATTAGAACAAATTGATTTAACAGACGCAAATGTCCAAAGGGATTTGGAAATAAATGCTAAAGCTAGATTTCATCAAAAAATGTAAGAGCAGGTGCGACAAACCACTCTTCAACAAGAGCCTCTCCACAGGTACAATACATTTGATATATGAGTGATTCTGTGCCAACAACACACATTTTTTGGCTCTCAATATACACTATGTTGCCATTTGGTAGGTTTCCCTAGGTACAATTAAAGTTGTTTGATACAACAGTTCTTCAATAAAATCTAAATTCATTAAGGTTATGACTGTGCTAATTTAACTTTAGGATTATATTTTTTCTTGAATTTAGTTTGTGGAGATGGGGAATTCAATGACATTAGACTGACAGGTGTTTCTCTTATCTTGTCCACACTTTCAATAACAATGTAGCAAGGCTACAAAACAGAAATGGTATAATGCGACAGAGATTTAAGTGTACCCTTCACATGTGAATCCAAGGACAGCCTTAATTGATAAACTATAGTCTTTAGATTTTAGTCTGGTTTTATTCCATAACCCTCTACACTTGGATCCGAGGCTACCTGAGGCGAGCGGATGAGAACCAGGACGGCAAGATGAGCTACGATGAAGTCAAACGTCTGCTCCAGATGATCAACATTGACCTGAGTGAACAGTATGCCCACTCTTTATTCAAGGTCAGGCTCATCATGTGTGCATTATGTGAGTTTTTTTGTAGCACTTTAAAGGTTATTTATGTGAGCTGAATACTGAAAAAGCATTACATGTAAGACAGGATGAAGAGCCAGTTTACTGTGACACCCTGGAGTCTAGTGTCTGTGTTCAATTACAGCATCTACCCTCCACATCTTTATCCCCTCCATCCTGTCTTCCCCACAACAAATCAAGAGCCAGTTATTTCTTTATTGTTTGGCATTACTGCCTGTTGTGTCCCTGCGCTCTCTCTATTACAGCTGAATAGTTGGTTTGTATACTACTTTCAAATGCAATTTCCTCTAATGACCCTCCTCAGAGAGCAGTAGGCCTATATGTAATGCACGTATACACAGCTGGGTTGAATTTTTATGGAGATGCTTTCCTTACAGGGAATTTGAAGTACTACCAGAATAAAAGCATGCTGTGTTTGATATGTGAGTTTGTTTTGTTTAACTCTTCCCGGTATCCCAGAGGAGTGACCGATCAGGGGATGGCCGTCTGGATCACATAGAGATCGAGGAGTTCTGCAGGGAGCTGCTGCGACGGCCCGAGCTCGACGCCGTGTTCAGACACTATTCCAGTAATGGTTGTGTGCTCGCCACTGCTGAGCTGCGCGACTTCCTGGGAGACCAAGGAGAAGACGCCTCGTTGAATCATGCTCAGAGCCTCATACTCACCTATGAGCTTAATGACTGGGGTAGGTCCTTAAAACAGTCATTTAAAGCTTTAAGGAAATAACCCACAACATTTTCATATAAGCACTGTGAAAGCCCCGTTTTGAAGTCAAAATACTGATTAAGCGTCTGTTAAAATCTCTGCTGCACAACAATCTGACGCACTTTCTGTTTCTAGCAATGAGGGTCATTTGATTTGATGAAGGACTAAAAAGCAATAATAACCACCATTGGTGAAATAAAAAAATAGCAAAATGACACCCACAAAAGCTATACTATGTACTTACCAGAATATCAAAGGAAAAGGTGTCAAATTTAAATCTGAAATCCAACCAATATACATGAAAAAAAGGGAACTTTTCACTGGGAAACAAAATGTTTATGATTCTCATAAATTAAATGTTTTATTTGAAAGTGAAATAATATGATATTTGTTATATATATACAGTATATAATAAAATGTCCTTTAAGTAAAAAAACAACTACATTATATGTATGAAATAATTTGATGAATAATTATAAGTAGTTTCCAAAAAAAGGAGTTGATCGGAAAACTGGGCCAAGAGAAGAGCAGAACAGAAACTTGATGACTGCTAAAAATGTATAATATCCCAGAAAATAACAAATGAAGTCAATATTTTCTTTCCCCACACTGTTAATCTCAATCCATGTAAAATGGAGGATGTGATTGAGGGCTAACCTTCTCTTGACCTGGCTTGTCTGCCATGTACCCAAATGTTAAGGCTTATTCATTGTAAGGCAAGGCAAGGCAAGTTTATTTATATAGCACTTTTCAACACAAGGCAATTCAAAGTGCTTTACAAAAAATGAAAGACATTAAGAAAATGGCATTTAAAATCAGTCATTAAAAAGAAAAGCTAATAAAATAAACATTAAAAGAAAAAATACATGGATAAAAGTTACAGTGCAGTCTAAGATATGAATAGTTCAATTAAAAGCAGCGACAAAAAGAAAAGTCTTCAGCCTGGATTTAAAAGTAGTCAGAGTTGCAGCGGACCTGCAGGTTTCTGGAAGTTTGTTCCAGATATTTGGAGCATAATAACTGAACGCTGCTTCTCCATGTTTAGTTCTGACTCTGGGGACAGAAAGCTGACCAGTCCCTGAAGACCTGAGAGATCTGGATGGTTCATAATTTAGCAGGAGGTCAGAAACGTATTTTGGGCCTAAACCATTCAGTGCTTTATAAACCAGCAGCAGTATTTTGAAATCTATTCTTTGACACACATGAAGCCAGTGTAAAGACTTCAGAACAGGAGTGATGTGATCCACTTTCCTAGTGTTAGTGAGGACTCGAGCAGCGGCGTTCTGAATTAGCTGCAGCTTCCTAATAGATTTTTTAGTGAGACCTGTGAAGACACCATTGCAGTACTCCAGTCTACTGAAGATAAAAGCATGGACAAGTTTTTCCAAATCCTGCTGTGACATTAGTCTTTTAATCCTAGATATATTCTTTAGGTGATAGTAGGCTGATTTAGTAACAGTTTTAATGTGACTGTTGAAACTCAGGTCAGAGTCCATGACTACACCTAGATTTCTGGCTTTATCTGTAGTACATGACCATTGCATGTATGATACGTGTAATGTGCATTTGTAAAGCGCTTTGAGCATCTGGAAAAGCGCTATAATAAATGTAAGGAATTATTATCTGTTGTTTTGAACATTGCAGACTGAAGCTCAGCGCTAACTTTTATATGTTCTGACTTGGCTCCAAAAACCATTACCTCAGTTTTATCTTTGTTTAATTGGAGAAAGTTCTGACACATCCAGTCATTGATTTGTTCAATGCACTTACTCAGTGTTTGAATTGGAGCATAGTCTCCTGGTGAAATTGTTACGTACATTTGTGTGTCATCCGCATAGCTATGGTAACTTATTTTGTTGTTTTTCATTATCTGAGCCAGTGGTAGCATGTAGACGTTAAAGAGAAGAGGCCCCAAGATGGAGCCTTGAGGAACCCCACATGTCATATTTGTCAACTCAGATGTGTATTTACCTATAGAAACAAAGTTGTTTCTGTCCTTTAAGTAGGATTCAAACCAATTTAGAACTGTTTCCGAAAGTCCCACCCAGTTTTCCAGTCGGTCTAGTAATATGTTGTGGTCAACAGTGTCAAACGCAGCACTGAGATCTAATAATACTAACACTGAAGTTCTGCCACTGTCTGTGTTTAAGTGGATGTCATTAAAGAGCTTTACAAGAGCAGTCTCAGTGCTGTGGTTTGGACGAAAGCCTGACTGGAACACATCGAAACAGTTATTTAAATGCAAGAAATTACTCAACTGTTGAAAAACAACTTTTTCAATGATTTTACCTAGAAATGGGAGGTTTGATATGGGCCTGTAATTGTTCATTACTGAAGCATCTAGATTATTCTTTTTTAAGAGCGGTTTAATGACTGCAGTTTTCAGGGCCTGTGGAAGAGATTTGTTTACTATATGAAGTAGATCTGAGGCCATGCAAGGCAAAACATCTTTGAAAAATCCTGTTGGAATAATATCAAGGCAGCAGGAGGAGGATTTCAGAAGTTGTATAATGTCCTCTAGGTTTTTATCATTAATCTGATGGAATTGTGTCATGGTGTTTGAATTGATGTTAAGTGGACACAGAGACAACACATTTGCTGTTCCTGATGCAGAGGCACTGACTGCTTGTCTGATTTTCTGAATTTTGTCAGTGAAGAAGGAGGCAAAATCATTGCACGCCCTGGTGGATAGAAATTCAGAGGCTACTGACGCTGGGGGGTTAGTTAGTCTGTCGACGGTAGCAAACAAGGCACGTGCGTTGTTTGCTTTTGGTAATGATGTCAGAGAAGAACGATTGTCGTGCGTTTTTCAATTCCAAATTATAAAGGCCAAGTCTCTCTTTATAGATTTCAAAGTGAAGTAGACACTAAAGACTTTGCTATTTGTTACAGCTCAGAAGAACCGCCTCATGACCCAGAATGGTTTCACCATGTACATGCTCTCCCGAGAGAATGACGTGGTTAACCCAGACCATGCCAGAGTGTACCAGGACATGAGCCGCCCTCTGGCCCACTACTTCATCTCCTCGTCCCACAACACATACCTCACCAAGGACCAGGTCACCAGCGCCAGCAGCACTGAGCCCTACATCAGGTATTCAGACCAAGACATCTACAAACAGCACACATTTTAGCATGAACAAAACACAATATATATTCTTACCATGTATGATCGTCAGACATGTTAAGTGCCCCACCACCTCTTCTACATAAGAACAAGAGCCACGGATTAAAATATATCTATGTTAGTTTGTTTTGCATTTATGCTTGGTGATATATCCGTTTCTGATCTTGTTTGCCTCTTTGATATAATTGGATGTCTCATTTTGGTCTTCTGTTTCCCTTTGTGATAATTGTGTGTCTCTTTGTGATCACTATGTTTCTCTTTGTTTTTGTTTTGTGTCTGTGCTCAATTTATGTCTATTTAGACATTTTCTTTCTCTCTGGCATCATTCTTTGTCACTAAGTGGTAATTTCATGTCTCTTTCTGGTAATTTTGTACCTATTTTTGTGGTACTTTATGGTCATTTTTGTCTCCATTTAGATTTAGATAGAGCTTTATTGTCTCCCTTAGGAGAAATGTGTCTTGGGCATCGAGATAATAAACATAAAACATTTAGGACAATCAGTCATAGATACAGAACAGAGATCACATATCACATGGCAAAGAAACAAACAAGAAACATACAGGTACAGAACTTTCCCTATGGCACATACATAATCAAATATTGCACTTTTCCCTATTGTATTTATACATAAATCAAATATTGCACCTTCCCTATTGCACCTATGCGGTGTCCGTCAAATTGCACATATCCCTATTGTATCCATACCTATTTACACATATTGCACTTTCCCTATTTAACCTTCTCGATTGCACAAACTACACTGTAAACATTTCACCTCCCAACAACTCCTAACTCCATAATCACAATTGTTTCTGACTGTTCAGCAGCTTGATTGACAGCGGAATAAAGGAAAACGTATACATGTTCAATTTACAGTTTGGTAATCTATACCTTCTGCCCGAGGCAGCAACTCAAACTCTCTATACAGGATGTGTTTGGGGTTGCATGTGATTTTACGGCCTTGCTTTCTCACCATCTCCTCAAATATCTCCTGAAGAGAGGATGGTGGAAGCATGCCAATTATTTTTCCAGCCCTTTTTAATCAAGCTCTGGAGTTGTGATTTAGATTTAACTGACAAGTTACCAAACCATGTTGTGATGCCATAACGAATAATAGACTCAATTGCTGCCCTGTAGAACATTAACATGATACATTTATCCACTCCATGAACCTACGCAGAAAATGCAGGCGCTGGCTTATCTTTGAGCATACCTGATCCACCTGATGGGCCCAGCCTAACTAAGCATCAAAATAAATCCTTAAATATTTAAAACCTGCTCAACTCCCTCCTTGTTGATAAGGACTGGGCTGTGATCACCTACTGACTTGGGGTCAAAGATAATTTCCTTTGTTTTTTTAACATTTAACACCAGGTTGTGCGCCTCACACCACTTCATGACCTCTTCAATCTCAAGTTTATAAATAGAAATGTCTAAGTCTCTAGTCAATAGACTAAGTATGGCTGTGTCATCAGAAAACTTTATAATGTGGTTGTGTGTGTGCTGACTCCTACACTCATTTGTGTAGAGTGTGAAGAGAAGAGGAGAGCTAACGCAGCCTTGTGGTGCCCCTGTGCTTATGACATGTGTGTCAGAGAGGGTCGAGTTTACTTTCACCTGCTGCTGTCTTTCAGTTAGGAAGGAGTGATACCATCTGATTAAGTAAGGATTCACATCCATCAGTTTGAGCTTTTTTAACATAATTTGGGGAAGAATAGTATTAAAAGCTGAGCTAAAGTCCATGAACATTAATCTAGCATAAGCTGAAGGGTTTTCCAGGTGTTTTAAAAATAAAGTGAGTTGTTGAGGTCAGAGCATCATCTGTACCTCTACCATCGCTGTACGCAAACTGGTAGGGGTCCAAGAGGTGTTGCACCTCAGTTTGCAAGTTCCCTACAATAATCCGTTCTAGTGACTTCATAACTATTGAGGTCAAAGCCACTGGTCTGAAGTCGTTGTTGTCATGTGGGCATGTTTTTTTTGCAACTGGTATGATGACAGCTTTCTTCCATATTTGAGGGATGCTTCCCGTGTCAGCAGAGAATAATGGACTCCAGGCAAGGGTGAGCTCATCTGCAAACGTTTTCAGCAGGAGTGCCGAAATACTGTCTGGCCCACTGGCCTTCTTAGTATGCAGTTGTTTGAAAACCCTGGCCACAGTGTAGCGTAAGTCTTATCCCTGAACGAATAAATTACACTTTTTAGACACACAGAAACAGAGGGATAGCCCGGTGACCTAGCTACTGAATTTTACCAAGGAAAAATAATAAATCAATTCACTTTCAACATAAAAAGTCTGTATTTTTGTTAACTCCAAATAATAAATCAGTACATCAAACAAAAATACTCATGTCACAGACCATTTACCAGATAAACTTAACTCCAATACATACACAAACAAATAAGCCAAGTTAACTCACAAAACATCAATACATCCTGGGGATTGACTGTGAGTGAGTGTGGGGGAGAGGAGAAGTCTTTGTTGTCCTTTGTCACTCAGTTTAGGGTGTATTTGAGGGGATAAGGATGTGTGAAAGTAAAGTTTTAAAGTTCAGCTTTAAAAGTCCAGAGTGTGGTGTGTGTGTGTGTGTGTGTGTGTGTGTGTGTGTGTGTGGAGTGCTAGAGGAGGAGAAATGATATTGGTGTAGTGAGAACCACTTATCTGAGGGTGACAGGCCAGAATAGCTCACTGGATTGCAGGGTTAACTTGGAAGGGGAAAGTTGAATGTTTCCCCAACAGCTCCTGGGTTCAGTGGCAAAAACTCCCAAAAAATAGCCTGATTCAGCAGATGAAGTCCTCAAGAATCCACTTTTCTCCTTGTTCGATTCCGACTTCCTCTTGCTTCTTTTTCCTTCTTTCGAATGACATGCTGTCCTCCTTTTAACAGCACACAGGTGCCAATCATTCTCTTGATTGTTTCCTCCAGTTTCTCTCAGGGGTGCTTGATTAGCCACTCCCCTTTTTCTCAGGGAGTCTGTAGGAGTGGGTTTACTTTCTCCCTGTCCTGCTACAACAGCACTATCATCAATTATTCTTCTTCTATTGTGTATTGGGTCACAGGTTAAAGAGGTTGACAAGTTATTACATGCATCAATGTTAGAAGCAGAATTAATATCAAAACGTTTGTAGAAGTTGTTACGTTCATTTGCTTTGTTAAGCTCATCCAGAACATGCATTTCCCTCTTCATTCAATCATTTATGATTGTTTAGTTTGGCTTTGTGCTCATATATTCATGCCCCAACACGAAAATGTTAACAGTGACTTCAAACAGAATTTCCCCACAACCTCTTGGGGCCATGGCCAAAATCATTGGATCCTTCTGTGGTGTTAAGAAATGTGTGTTCTCTGACAGGGCTCTGAATCAGGGATGTCGCTGTGTTGAGCTAGACTGCTGGGATGGAGATAAAGGTGAACCTGTCATCTACCACGGCCACACTCTCACCTCCAAAGTCACTTTCAGTGAAGTCATTGAAACCATCGCCCAGTACGCCTTCAAGGTGAGAGCAACTTGATTTAATGGTGTAAATCCTTAGCTTTATTGGTATGCCTGCTGCTCCACGTTACTGCTAATGGAACAAGTGGTCAGTCAGGCTTGTGGTCACATACTTGGCCCTGAGGCGGTATTTTGGTTCTTACATAGCATTACAGAGTCGGGTCCTGGATTGCTATCATGTGCTCTAATTGCATTTTAATGGCTTGGCATACGTTTTTCTCCCTGTGCTTCTCCCTGCAGGCCTCCCCATATCCTCTAATCCTGTCTTTGGAGAATCACTGTTCTGTGGAGCAGCAGGCGGTCATGGCCAAACACCTCCGCAAAATCCTGGGCAGCAAACTGCTCACCAAGCCCCTCAGTGCCGACCCGCCAAAAGATCTGCCTTCTCCTGAAGTACAAAACACACGGACAAACACACAGCAGGCTCAGTTTTCAAAGGCCTTTACCTGTCTGGATTCCTAATGAATAACCTTCGTTGCAGGAGCTGAGGGGGCGGATTCTGGTAAAAGCAAAGAAGCTGATCCCTCACCTGGGGCAGCTGGGTAAGAATGGCAGCTGTGCCAGCTTCTCCTCGAGCTCTGAAGATGAAGTAGCAAGCAGCAATAAGAAGGATCCTGCAAAGGTCAGTTCAAAAAGGATTTGTCATTGAGCCTGAGAAGCTGTTAAAGTGAACTTCTTACATTTTCTGAGCAGTTTACTCTAATGTTTGTATTTGCTCTTCCCAGGTCTGTTCTAAACTGAGCCCAGAGCTATCAGAGCTGGTGGTGTACTGCAGAAGCGTCCCCTTCCGTGGTTTTGAAAATGCACCTGAAAAACCTCCAAACGAAATGTCTTCCTTCTCTGAAAGTGATGCCCTCAAGCTCATCAAAGACTCAGGTACAACTGTGCAAATATATATTTTTTTTATTAATTCAAAAGAGAAGGTCGAAAATATTTGTTGACACTGCTTTCCTGCAGCTGATTCCTCCACAAAATGTAATCAGCCTCCAGTGTATCATGGCATGCTACTTTCTTCTTTTCATTGGCAGGGAAGCTTTTTGTGAGACACAACAGCAGGCAGCTGAGCCGGATCTACCCCTCTGGCCAGCGCCTCGGATCATCCAACTATGATCCTCAGGAAATGTGGAACGGTGGCTGCCAGATGGGTTAGTACTTTCAGACGAGAAGCTTTGTTGCTGCTCTGATGGCAGCACATTTAGGCAATTCATTCTGAAAACATTATGTGGACCGTAAGTGCCAAAGAAATGTTACAGTGACTCATTTCTGCAAATTGCCGCTTCATCACAACAACATTGATGTCAACGGCTTTGACTGATTGAGAGAATTCACAGATGCTGAAATGTTTTTCCTTGGCTTGTGTGTGATCAGGCTTGCCGTGTTACTGACTTTCTCTTTGTGCTCTGCAGTGGCTCTTAACTTCCAAACGCCAGGAGAGCAGATGGACCTGAACCAGGGCCGCTTCCTGCCCAATGGTCGCTGTGGATACCTTCTTAAACCAGCTTTTCTGTGCAGCACCACTTCCGACTTTAACCCAGAGAACACAGGAGGAGGCCCCGGTCACACCCCCACCCAGCTGACTATACGAGTGAGTGGTAACCATACACTGTATATTGTATATTAAGGTGGTGACCTATTGAGCAACAGTCAATTCGATTGGTTGTCTCAAATTCATCTTAGAAAACAATTGGTTAATCAGTACTGCAATGCAATTTTGACATACATTGTTGCTACATTCAGACTGTTTCCTATTGTTGTTACTGTCTACTACGTACATATTAAATTCTTTGAAATCTGTTTATTTATGATTTTTTGGCTGTATAAATAAACTGAATTTGACTTGACTTGAATTGTTACTCTCCCATTTAAACTGGATTCGAAAATTTACTATTTTCCCTTTGATTTTTAGATCATATCTGCGCAGCAGCTTCCAAAAATTGACACGGAGAAGGTTAGCTCCATTGTGGACCCACAAGTATGGGTGGAAATTCATGGGGTGTCAATTGATAATGCAAGAAACAAAACCCAACGCATCGACAACAATGGTGAGACGTCCTTATTCAGTATCAGCTATTTTATGTACAGAATATTGTTTTAAGCATGTAACTCATTTTCTATTTTTATGCAAACATGTTATTGAAGTGAAATGATGTAATATCATAGGTTTTTCATAATTGTTTTACTTTGTTATGATATCAATTCAGCTCAGACATTTTTGTGAAAGCCTTTCCTGTCCAAGCCCATGATTGGTTTGTTTGAAAAGTAGATTGTCGGATGATGTATTTACAGCTCTTGTGCGCCCTCTACAGGTTTCAACCCCCGATGGGACTGCACTCTGAGCTTCCAGCTGCAGGTCCCTGAACTGGCCCTGGTGCGGTTTGTAGTGGAGGACCACGATCACACTGCCAAAAATGACTTTGTGGGGCAATTCACTGTACCATTCATCAGCCTACGAACAGGTGCTCATTGAAAACCCTATGCAAATTATAAATCAGTCATTACTGTGGCATGCTGTTTGTAATTTACTCTTTTTTTCTCAGGTTATCGACATGTTCATTTATTGAAGGCAGGTGGTTCCAGTCTGTCCCCCAGCACACTCTTCATCCATGTCAAAGTCACCCGCAAAGGAGTACCAATCAAAACTGTGTCCGAGCGTATGGCCATTGCTAAAGGCAAGGCATGACGTGCATCTGAACTAGATGGAAAGCTGCATTTTCTGACAACAAAGGGCTTTGAAAAGGGGCTCTGAGCGTGAGCAGAGAGAGGCTGTCAGTCCCTGTCCAGTCCTCAAGTGGTCCAATTTACACTGAGCAACTGCAGGAGGAAAGATGTCGCTTATCAGAGATGAAGAAGCACTCTGGCTCTCAGCAAATGAATTGCCTCAGGCTAGATAATGAATCCATTATACACTGTGGGAGTATCATCTCTTTTCCAGGACACTGAGGATTGTGGTCCGCCAAATATGGGACTTGTTACAAAATCAGTTTTAATGTTGTTTACTCTAATTTTAGGTGGCCATCCCAAATGTGTTGGACTAAAGATTTTTGTATTTTAGAAATATTTAAAAAAATGTACACTTAATTGTTTAGCTAATACTTAAAGAATGAAGATACTTAACAAGAAACAGCACTTAATTAACTTAATGAGGGGGTATACAAGTCCTGTCAGTGGGACTCCCAGCATGTGATTTAAAAATGTATCGTTTTTAATGTTTAGGAATGATGATTATAACACCAACTGATGTTATGCAGATGTCAAAATGTTTTACTGTGATTGCCACATGTTGTGCATGAAAATTATTCAAATGATTAATGTGTTTTACTTGATAATCTAGATACTCTAGGCACTTTTAATTTTATGACTATATACAGTATTTCTACAACTTAAAAAATGAACTTGAAATATAAACAGTATTAACTTTAACTTAACTTTCTTAAGAATCTAAATAGTTGTATTTACCTCATTTCACAAATGTGACATTTGTTTTGTTTGATATTTGTTTGTAGGCATATTAGCTCTGTTCTGTTAACAACCTTGCAATTTATTTGTGTTGCCAAATGTTGTGTTACATTCTTCTATAAAACGTTTGGTTAAACATGAATTGCAAATAGCAAACATAATACCAATTCATTTGAGCTACTGCAAATAATTTGAAACTCATAGAGCTTCCTTGGGATAAAATGGTGCAGTAATGAGAGGTGCTGCACATGGATTACTGTAATTACAGTGCATGTGATCTATATGGATTTCAGAAGCATGTTACAAGTGTTGTATTATGCATTTGCAGTGTTAAATCTTATGTTATATGAATGGCAGTTGGTGTTATTTATGCAAGAGAAAATACTGTTTTCATAAAAGCACTAATAACACTTCACTGTGTGAGAACTTTTTGTTATTATTGATCTTTATAGATATAGTATGTTTGTTTGTGTGTGTGTGTGTGTCTTAAGTACATTGTGCTTATATAGTATAAGTAGCCTTTTTTGATCTGAATACCCTGTTCATCACTAAATATGTTGTTATTTATAACAGCAATCAGTCTAGGTTATCCACCAAACATATCCTCTCCTCGCATGCCTCAGTGTTTTAATTCCCATTTAGCTAAATGCAGATCACATAGCTCATATCAAGCTGGTGTGCATGTGTATGAGAAGAATAATACTTTAAATCCAACAAATTACAAATGAATTAATATTGTGAAATAAATGCTTCAAAACCAGGAGCATGTCTTAAAGGTCCCATGCAGGGCCGCCCCTGGCCAACTTGGGGCCCCAAGCGACATTGTGAGATGAGGCCCCCCCCAACCGACAGGAGTGAAAAAAATGTTTTTGGAAACAAAGTAGGCTACTTTGCAAATATAATTCCTGTTTATTATTATTATCAACACTTTTTTATGCAGTGAGGTAAATGGTTGTTGCATGTATGTCGTTCAGTATGCGTTTACAGCTGAATACGTCTGCATTTCCTGCCAAATACTAGCCTCAAAAAGATTAAAATATAATTAATGCAAATAAACAACTTCTACTAATAATAATAATCATAATCAATTCAATAATATAAATACTATATTATTTTATTATAATATAGTTGTATAGTCAAGACAAAACATGCTTATGACATGCTCAAAACTGATACTTCTTAAATCTGTATTCAAATGTAGTTCCCTCTGTCAGCAATGTATCAACAACTACACACACATTTCTATCAGTATTTCTCTGTGTTGTGGTTGACATGATGATGACTGCTAGGAGTTAAGGGGAGAGGCTGAGCGTCACCATGACGATGACTGTTAGGAGTTAAGGGGAGAGGCTGAGCGTCACCATGAAATGTGCAAATTGACATAAAAATGAATATAAGGGGGAAAAATGCTCCATGTTTTTTAGGCTGTAAACTTTAACTGTTATGTAAGCCAACTAGACAGACAGTGTATCACTCTTCCTCCTGCACATTAGCAGATAAAAGGCATAACATACTTGAATGAATGGTAAATAAAGAATGCTGGAAATAACTGCATCTCCATTAGCCTTTATGCTCTGCAGAGACTGCCTTCTTCATGTCGTGAATTGCAGCTGATGTTTTAATATGGCAATTGGCAATTTGACTTATACAACATTCGCAAGTTGTACATTTGACTCATACAATAACCCACCTTCGAGTGATGCTCTAGTTTCTTCATGTTTTGTTTTTTTCCCCTCTTGCTTGTGCCGGACTGAAACTGTCTTTTCACCGACATCTCTTCACCTGCACTAGTGGCCGTATCCAGTGGCGACTGGTCATTAGGGGCAGGTGGGGCACAGCCCCACCTAGTGTCAGCAGAAAGTATTAAAAGTAATGATTACAAAAAAATGCAAAAGATAAATTAAAAAATATATAAAATATATTTTAAGATCATGTTTATTCATCTGATTCGTCTGTACATTGCTGTTTTAGTCTGTGTTCTTCTAATTAGTGTCTACAGTGTGTGCCTATTGAGCTGTGTTGAGCCATGTGGGACAAAACCCGATCCTGCCCCTCCCTCTCCCTGTTTAAGTCAATGGTGACTGTAAAAACTACACTGCGCATGCTCAGAGTATTGTCCTATTTAATGTGTGTGGCAAAAAAATAATGACCATAGGGGCATAGTGCTGCCATCCCCACCATACGTCATCTCACATAATTCAGAGCTGATTGGCTGTAAGTACGTTTGTATGGAAGCAAACAAGAGACAGAAGTATTTGAATTTTATTAGACACCGAATTTATAGCATTGAAAATAATTACTTTGAAAATCATGAATCTGAATTTTTTTTGCTCCGAATTTATCTATGTGAAATAAAATTGTAAAAATTCAAGTTAAAAAAATTCGAATGTTCAAATTCAGATCCCAAAAATTCAAGTGAAAAAAATTCGACGTCAAATATTTCGGTGTTTAAAATTCGATGTAAAAAAATTCGGTGTGTAAAATTCGACGTCAAAAATTGCGATGCAGCCTCATCCGGGCTACTCAGACAGGATAAGCAATCGAGCCCTAATGCAATCAAACCGACTTCTGGCCTATCAGAGCCAAGCGGCAAACCCCGGGACAGTGCGGTGAAGCCCAATGCTGCAAACTGTAGGCGATGGATGCAGATGGGAGCAATTCCCGTAGACCCTTTGTTAAAATGTCCAACTTAACATCAGAAAATGAACATGTTTCTAGCCTGGATCTACAAAAACATATTCTGTATATAGTTAGATTCCCCCTTCATGACAACGGGGCTGCTGCTCCTAGCTCCTCTCTGCTAGCTCCGTTAGCTCCGTGATGCTACAGCGGCTCAGCTCATGAGGAGAACACTACTTGAACTCGGCCGTGTTTGTTGTGTTGTTCCTGGTGGACTATTCGTCCTGCAAATATAGGATTTATCTGCGGTTGAAACAGACCGTCCATGAATGCAGTTTCTTCGGTAAGTCAACCCTGCGTACTTTATGTTATGTTACTGGTGTTTTTATTAAGCTAACGTTAATGAATGTTTAGAGTTGGGTTAGCATTTGAGCAATCGTAGCTCCATCTGTGCTAACGATGCTATGCGTAGCATCCAAGAGTGTAAAACATTAAGTGGGATGCTACTGTATACCAAAAGGCTTCTGTGCGAGGTTGCTAAAATAAGGTCATCTTTGTACGTTAGATAGTTAGTTTGCTATTTAGGTTACTGTATGCATTGTTAAGGTTCATTTAAATTCGCTATGCTCTACTATAGCATAAAATAGACTAGCTAACGTCAACGTATTGTTGAAGAGAGGCTTAGTGTATATTAAATCAACCTCACAATGAAATGTGTGTATCTTTAAAATATGAACGTCACATTTCAAGATAATAACGCTCCCTTAGATATTGTAATATGGTTTGTTGAACTGGAGTTATTTATTGCAGCTAACCGCCTATCCGACGAACGACCCAAACATTGTTGTTTTTAATATTATTACCAATGCCTCTTTTAATTGTATTATCCTCACACTTGAGAAACAGCCTCATTGTGGCTGTAGAACAGAACATGTAACTTAATTCCTGCATTTAAGGACGATGAATAGCGTAGTCAATGCTTTAGTGACAAGGAAATGATTTGTTTAAATATTATATATGACGTTATCTGTGACTTCAGTGGAAATTAAGCTTATCCATTGCATTGCATTTGTTCAATAGGTTTGTGTCTTACCCTTACGTGTGTGATACATATGAATATGGCATGAAAACAAATTAATTTGACTGACTCATGAAAACCTCATCCAAAGTAACAGTAAAATAAAAAGGACCTACACAATAATACTCAATCAAACTGATACAGTATAAGGACTGTGATATCCAGCCATTTCTTAAGTATAACAATAAGATTATGACCTGTTTTTAAAAGAAGATAAAAAGTTGTTTGCATGGAAAGAAGTCTGTAACCCATGCATGTAACTTTACATCTGTTTGTTCAAAGTGTCCTCAAGGTGATCCAGACAGGCTGGACCAGAGGAGGAGAGACAGACCTGGACCAGAGGAGGAGAGACAGACCTGGACGAGAGGAGGAGAGACAGACCTGGACCAGAGGAGGAGAGACAGACCTGGACCAGAGGAGGAGAGACAGACCTGGACCAGAGGAGGAGAGACAGACCTGGACCAGAGGAGGAGAGACAGATCTGGACTCCTAGCAGCAGAGAACTTCAGCACGGATTCCAAGGTACACCTTTTTCATGCTTTACAAAGAATGCATAAAGTAATGACTCTAATACACTGATAGACATGCCATTAAACATGACTGAATACTAGATCACCCACACATCAGTGATGTTGAGTGTACTTTCTTAGCAAAAGGTTACATTTTACCAAGCAACATCACATAGTGAGAGCTGCGACCCTTTGTCTTTCAGTGAGACAACCGAACAGAGCAAGCTTCCACAGTTGCACTAAGTTTTGATAACAGTTAAATATTATTTTAATAATACATTTATTTCAATGTTGATGAATTTAGAACGGTTTATTCATAATCTGATTATCTTTGTAGTACACTGTTGGATTTAAAAAACACATTCAAATAAAAAATCATTATATTTATGAACAAACAAACACACCTCTTTCTTAAATAACACACTTGCTCAGCAATAATATGTTTTTTGATATTTCTGTTAGGAAAGGACACGCCTGAGAGACAGGACTGCTTCACCATGTTCTCTTTCTCTGAGGGTCCAGAAGAACATCCAAGAGGGAAAGGAAAAGCTGATGTGATGAGATTTAAGAGCAGTACAGGACATTCACTAAGAGACACTTGTATTGTAACACAAAGACCTGCACACTGACTAGTTTTGTAGTCTAACAGGAGCTTCATTTGTGTTGTTTTGTGTTTTACGTTGCACAGAGACAGTGTGATTGTCAGGCCTATAACGTTTGGCAAAAAAAAAGTCAGCTGATCAAATGCATTTGCACTTTGAGCTTCACATCACTTGTGCCTTGTGCCGCCGAGTTTGGAACGTCATAAATAAATGGTACCAATCTTCAGTCAGATGTGAATGTGTAATTTAACATTTTCAGTAAGAATAACGGACAAAAGGAGTGCAAATACAATTTATTGAAATGTGAACTAAAAGTTATCAAGCATGAACCATCACCATTTTTTTTAAAAATAAAAACGAAATAATATACATAAGTTACACTCAATGTTAATCTGTTAATTGACAGGCTAGGCCTGTGCAGGTGGTAACAGCTATGCCCAGCATGGGCTAAGTTCTGTAGGTGCAGCTGGTGTAAGTCCTCCTCCATCAGGTCTGCAGGGTCTTTCCCTGCGAGGAGGACTCCTCGCAGGGAAAGACCCTCAGCCCTCTCTGGCCAAAGCAACAGACAGGACGTTCATAAAGCTGAGTTCTCCCCCAAAGTC